TGGCTGTAAATATATAACTTTACTTCTAGGTTCTCTGTTCTATCTCACTGATCAATGTATCCATTTTTATACTAGTACTATTCTGTTTTGATTATCATAGCTTTGTAATACAATTTAAAGTCAGATAATGTAATGCCTCCAGCTTTGTTCTTTTTGCTTAGGATTTCTCTGGCTATTCAGACTCTTTTTGGTTCAACAAATTTTTAAAAACCAAATAGCATTAGTGAAATAAAACTATAATAAAATAAAACTAGACATCAATAATAATAAAACTTTGGAAACTGTACAAATATAAAAAAATTAAAAATATTCTTTTGAACTACTAATAAGCCTATGAAGAAATTAAGAAGTAAATTAAGAAATGTTTTAAAACGGATGTGAGCATTGACTCAAGCCTGTAATCCCAGCACTTTGGGAGGCCAAGGCGGGCGGATGACAAGGTCAAGAGATGGAGATCATCCTGGCCAACATGGTGAAACCCCATCTCTACTAAAAATACAAAAAAAATTAGCTGGGCGTGGTGGCGTGCACCTGTAGTCCCAGCTACCTGGGAGGCTGAGGCAGGAGAATTGCTTGAACCCGGGAGGTGGAGGTTGCAGTGAGCCGAGATCACGCCACTGCACTCCAGCCTGGTGCCTGGTGACAGAGCAAAACTCTGTCTCTCAAAAAAAAAAAAAAAAAAAAAAGAAATGTCTTAAAACTAGTGAAAATACAACCACAACATACTAAAGTCTATGGACTACAACAAAAGCAGTAGTAAGAGGGAATTTTACAGCAACAAATTCCTACAGGAAAAAAAGTAGAAATTTCAAACAAACAACATAATGTGCACTTCAAGGAACTAGAAAAGCAAGAACAAAGCAAAAATAAAATTAGTAAAAGAAAATAAATAATAAAGATTGGAGAAGAATTAAATAAAAGAGACCAAAAAATATAAATGACCAACAAAATGAAAAGTCAGTTTTTGAAAATATAAACAAGATTGACAAACTATTATCTAAATTAAGAACAAAAGACAAAGGATCCAAATAATCAAATTACAAATAAAAAGGGAGACAATATAGCTGATACCATAGAAATACAATGTACCATTAGAGGCTGTTATGACCAACTATATGCCAACAAATTTGAAAACCTAGCGGATAAAATTCCAGGACACATATAACCTACAAAGAGTGAACCAAGAAGAAATAAAAAACAAATATTCAAATATGGGGAGTTCTAGAAGAAGAAGAAACAGGAAAAGACGTCTTAGTCATAAATTCTTTGTTTGACCAATGTCCAGAAGAGTTTTTCCTAGGTTTTCTCCAGTAATTTTATAGTTTTGTGTCTTACATCAAAGTATTTAATCCATCTTGAGTTGATTTTTGTATAAACAAAGATCTTTATAAGATCTTATAAACAGACCAGTACTGAGTAACAAGATTGAATCAGTAATAAAACACCTAAAACCAAGAAAAACCGAGGACTAGATAGCTTTACTGCTGAAATCTCCTTAACTTTTTTTTTTTAGATTGCTTAGGCTAGAGTCAGTGGCGAAATCATAGTTCACTGTAACCTCAAACTACTGGGCTCCCAACAGGTGCATGCCACCACGTAAAGCTAAAAATTAAAAAAAAAAATTTTGTATAGGTAGCCTCTCACTAAGTGGCTTAGGCTGGTCTTGAACTCCTAGCCTCAAGCGATCCTACTGCCTCAGCTTCCCAAGGCACTGGGATTACAAATGCGAGCCACTGCACCTGACCCCAAACTTTTAAAGGACTAACACCTTCTTTAAAAGGCGTCATTCTGAAAAGCCAGCCTGATTCCAAGTAGACGAAGACACAACAAAAAACTTACAGGCCAATATTCCTGATGAATATAGATGCAAAAATTCTCAACAAAATACTCACAAACTGAATCTAACAGCATATCAAAAAGATTACAAACCATGATCAAATGAAATTTATCTCAGAGATGCAAGGAGTTTTCAACAGACACCAATCAATAAATGTGATATATGACATCAAGAGAATAAAGTACAAAAATCATATAACCATCTCAATAGATGAAGAAAAAGCATTTGGTAAAATTCAACATCTCTTTATGATAAAAACTTTCACCTATTAATAGGTGAAGAAGGAACATATTTCAACACGGAAAAAGGTTGTATTAAACAAAACACACACACACACACACACACACACACACACCCCTAACATTAAGAACTGTGACAAGGATGCCGACCTTCACCACTCCTATTTAACATAGTGCTTGAAGTACTAGTCAGAGCCATTAGGCAAGAGAGATAAAGGACATCTAAATTAGAAAGAGAAAGTCAAATTGTTCTTGTTTGCACATAACATGATCTTATATACAGAAAAACCTTAATACTTCACCAAAATACTCTTAGAACTGATAAACGAATTCAGTAAAGTGGCAGGATACAAAATCAATGTACAAAAATCAGTAGCATTTCTAAACGCCAATGATAAACTGCCTGAAAAAAGAAATTGAGAAAGTGACCTCATTTACAACAGCTACAAAGAAATAAAATACTTAGGTATAAATTTAACCAAGGAGGTGAAATACTTAAAGATAATATTAACCAAGGATGTGAAAGTCTTTTACAATAAAAATTATGAAACACTGATTAAACAATTTAAAGGCATACGAAAAACGAAAAGGTATTCCATGTTCATGGATTTAAAGAATACTGCTAAAATGGACATACTACTTAATGTAATCTACAGATTCAATGCAATTCTTATCAAAAGACCAATGACATTCTTCACAGAAATAGAAAAAGCAATCCTAAAATTCATATGAAACCACAAAAGACTGAATAGCCAAAGTAATACTGAACAGAAAGAACAAAGCTGAAGGCACCACACTATCTGACTTCAAAATATCCTGCAAAGATGTAGTGATCAAGACAACATTGCATTGGTATAAAAACTGACACATAGACCAATGGAGCAGAACAAATAACCCAGAAATAAATTCATGTACGTACAGCCAACTGATTTTCAACAAAGGCACCAAGAACATTCATTTGGGAAAGAACATCCTCTTCAATAAATGATTTTGAGTAAACTGTATATCCACATGTAGAAGAATGAAAGTAGATCCTTGTCTTATACCATATATAAAAATAAACTCGAATGAATTAAAGATTTAAATGTAAGACCCACCAGCAATGTATGAGAACTCCAGTTGTTCCACATTTTTTCCTGTATTTGTTGTTGTCAGTCTCTTTAATTTTAGCCATTCTAGACATTATGTAGTGATATCTCATTATGGTTTTTATTTGCATTTCTCTGATAACTAATGATATTGAAAACTTTTTCATGGGTTTATTGGTCATTCATCTATTTTCTTTTGTGAAGTGTTTGTTTAAACTTTTTGCCCATTTTCATAATTAGATGTTTGCCATTTTATTACTGAATAATAGACATTCTTTATATGTTTTGGATTAACATCATTGGCAGATATATGTTTTGTGAATATTTCTTCCCACTCTGGCTTACCTATTTATTTCATTATCAGTGTCTTTGATGAAGTTTATCTTATCAAACTTTTTTATTTTGTAGTTGTTTCTGTCTTGTACAGTTTGCATCACTAGACTGTGGGCTCCTATAGTGAATGAGTGTGAATATTTTTTTCTTGTGCCCTTAGCTCCTAGCATAGAGCCTAACTTATAGATGGCCCATAAGTGTAGTACTAAGTTTGTTGGGAGTAGGAGAGGAAGAAATGTGTTTCCTTTTTTGCCTAGTATCCTTTTAGGGAATTATCTCCCCTCACCATTTAGTCCTTCTGGTTAAGATAAGGCTAATCTCTTTCCAACCCATCCCTAGGGGTGGGCAATTGATCCAAACTAGACCAATTGAAGACTTGCTCTGTACTCTTGCAAGAAATATGAGTGTAGAGGTATCACCACCCTTCTCCTACCAAGATTTAGAAGGACATTGTGATGGTAAAGCAATTGCTTGCCATCTTTGCTATCACCGAAATAACCTACTTGAGTATGAAGTCAACACAGAAATTAAGAGCTGGAAAATGGAGAATAAATAATCCTTGAAGACATAATTGGAATCCTTGGATTCAGCCTTTCCTGAATTTCACTTCCCTTTGAAATGCCCAATTATATAAATCAAAGCCTTTTGGTTTATGTATTTGTTTAAGCAAATTTGAATTATACTTTTATTTCTTGCAACTCAGAAAGTCCTGTCTGGTATACTTCTTGATAATGCACTCTTTCTTAAGTTAACACATCATTCTCCAAATCTTCAGAGGTATTTTGGAGGTGAAGGAGATGGGGTAGAAAGCAATAAGTGTAATTACCTGAGTGTGTGACTAATAAAACAGGAGTCCTGGCTTCATATATTATGCAGCATTGTTAAAAATCATAAATTTTTAAATCATGATATAAATAAAAAATAAAACTATTATAATGTTCAGATCAAGAAGAGACCTGCAACTACTATGTCTGAGGATACTCTTGTTATTTTATTTCTATATATTGTCATCAAGTATTTGATTAATGAAAAAAACATGAATCCTTGAAATAAGAAATTAATTCTTTCTCTTTTAACAGAACACAAGCCAGACAAAATCCTTTTTTAAAGAATCTGTCATATAAAATTGACAAAAATAGTTAAAGATATATGTGTGTATATATATCTATATATGTGCATATGTTTTTATGTGTGTACATATGTATCTATGTGGTCTGTGTGCCTATGTGTATGTGTGTCTATGTATGATTGTGTATGTTTATACACATGTGGTATATAAGTTGTATATAAGTGAATGGGACTGTGTGTATATTTACATATATGTGTGTTATATATATGTAACATATATCTCCTTTGTTATGTGTTTGTGTGGCTATATCTCTATGTGACTGTATTTGTGTCTGTGTCTATATCTCCATGTGCTATATTGTGGCTTAATTTGCATTTGTGTCTGTGTGTGTTTATGTGTGTGTAGTAAACGTATGGGTTCGTGCCTGTGTCTGTGTGCTGTGTTTGTGTCTACATGTGTGTTTGTGCAAACATATATGCGCCTGTGTTGTATGTGTGTATGCCTGTAGGTATATTCGTGTGGCTGTCTGTGTGCATGTGTCGATGTGTCTGTGGCTGATGGCAGGAAGAAGGATAAAGCTATACTATCCTATTCTGTACTTGGTGCAAATTAGGAAAAGCTGTCCTCTCTGGTGTGACAGTCTCACAGGCACAGGGATTGGCCAGCAGAGTGGGGAATGGATTTCGCTCTCCATTGGCCCCCTCACCTGGTGTCTTAGAGCAGAGAGCAACTTGGTGAGTGTGAAGGGTATTTTGGAAGACCCAAAGTCCATTCAGCCTCTCCTTTGTTGTGTTGTGCAGGCACTTTCCCACAGAACTTAGTTTGAAAACTGATGTCCTATAAATGTTCCAAAATGACATGATTCCAGAGGCGTTCATGGCATAGTTCCTCTACCTGAAGTCCAGGCACTGCAGAGCCTTCAGTGGGCTCCTTCTTCAACTCATCTTGAGGCCTTGAGCATGCCTTCCCTCAGGCAGACCTTCTCTCACCTCTCTTTTTGGAAAGCTCAAGCCAGAGTCCTGCCTTAGCATCCTAAGGCCTCAGACTCACTTCTGCCACCTGTTGCCTTGTTGTGGAAAACACGCGTTGAGGTTTACGGTTGCATATTGCCATGGCTCATTACATAGTTTGCAGTTTTTAAAAAATGACTCATGACTAAGAGATTGTGGGGTGGTGATCGGGTGGTGTTAGTGGAGAAACATATGGATGGTGTGGGACTAGTTTAGATGGAGAGTGAGATCTTGGAACTGGGAGTGGATGAGTGGTTCAAATGTGAAGAGAAAACTGGTGCTGCAGGTTGGATCTAGAGGGATCGTTAGCACTTAACATTCCTTCGCAACCTTCATATCCAATATGTGCTGCCTACCTCAACTTCTCAGCAGAAACTCCCTCTTCAGCATTCTGACTTGTAGCGTCTTGTGATAGATGACCTTGGGCAAGTTGCTCAACCTTTATGAGCCTCTGTTTCTTCAGCAATAGCCCCTATTCACTCATGTGGGTGGTTGGAAAGAATAATGACATAGTCTATGTGAAGACCTGGGCGCACAGTGCTCAGTGAATGTTGTTGCAGCCTTTTCTCCCCTTTTGTTCACCCTCTTCTTCCTCCTCGAGGTGCCCATAGCACTTCATCTGTCCATAGTACAGCATCTAGCTCTGGCCTAGCACTTGGCAAGTGGTCAGTAGTCAGTAGATATTTGTTGAGTGAAGAGTTAAAAGAAGTCAGGCAGGAAAATGGAGGGAAAATAGTAAGTATCAGGCACGTAATGAAGTAAGTTGAAGTTGAAACACTTTCCCATCTTTGGACATGATCTAATAGTGTCCTTTGATAGAAAAGTGGAACAAACAAGGATTTTGTATATGTAAAATGTAGCTTTAGGTGACAGTCCGGGTGGGGAGCTCAGTAGGCCCTCTGATCACTGATTTCCTGTTTGTGATCATCAGCCAGGTCTTACAGTGGACCATTTCAGTTTTCCCTTTGATATGACAGGGTGAATTTGGAAGAGAGAGAGAGTGTATATGCAACAGCACCTGTTTCTAACAGAGGGTCAAGTTCCAAAGAGGCTTAAAGGAATCTAAATTGTGAAAAAAAGAAAGGAAGAAATAGAGGATAAAACAAACCTTGTTAGTAATGAGAGATCCAGTAGGCAGGTAAGGGCTGTCATTACTATAATTATATACCAGGTATTAATCACCTGCTATTTACAGGGCACTGTGCCAGTTGCTGAGATTGCGAAGTAGAATTCCAGGTTGTTGCCCTCCAGAGGCTTCCAATCTAGGACATGGAATTGGTTAGAAGAAGAAGAAGTATCAAACGCTATCTATCTGTTCAGTACTGTGACAAATACTTAAAGGTATTTTGTCAGATATTATCATTCTCCAAGAAGAATCTAAGGTTCAGAGAGATTAAGAAACTTTCTCCAGCTCATCCATCAAACGAGCAGTAGAACTGGGAGAAGGCCCAAGTCTGTCTGGCTCTAATGGCACTGTACTGCCTGCAGGCCTCTGAGTAAGAGCATCAGGGCAAGCATGTGAAAAAGACAATTAACTTGACAAGCTATCCTAGGTTTGATGCCATGTGAGTAATATTTGGCAATTGTTGCAGGAATCCAACAAGAAAAGAGATTTATTAAGATTGAAAGAGGAACTTTGCAGAGGAAGTAGATCCTCAACTAGATGCTGAAGGCAGAATATGAATCCAATAAGAATGAAGGTCGAGGCGTTTTAGGTGGAAGTAGGCATGGTATGTGCAAAGCTGGGAAGTGGGAAAATTCTCACCTTCTGGGTTTGTGTTACGCAGCATGGAATGCCAGAGAGAGCAAAGCCTGCTCCAAACTCACTAGCAGTGCTTCCCTAGCCCAGTCACCCAATTTCCATAAGCCTCAGTGTCCCTATTTGTACAACGGTTGTGGTAATAGGCACTTCAAAGAGTTGTTGAGACCAGAGACAATGTGTATAATGCTATCCGCCTCCTCAAAATCACCACTCAAAATTAAAACTCAATCAAAGTCAGGTTTCCTCTCTTACAGTTTTCTATTTTCCTTTCTACTTGCACTTGAATCAACTATATATTTGTATGTTTATTTCTTTAATGTCTTTTCTTGACTGTAAGTTCCACGAGGACAAGGAAAACATCGATTCATCTCAACACTATCTCTTTAATGCCTAGAACAGTACTCCAGAAATCTTTGTTAGATGAATACATAAATGTAGGAATAAATAAATGAATAATAAGATCTATTTCTGTGCTACGATTCTAAGAATCTCAGGGAAAATATCTCTTCTCTCTGGCCATGGGCAGGTCACAAATACAGGAAAAGCTTTCACAGAATGCAGTTAGAGCATTACAGGGCCTCAACAGGTTACTAGAGAAGCATCAGGTCTCCTCTCCATCTACTATATGGAACCATGTCTGAGCAGGAAGGAAATTACACAAACTTCCAGCTCAGCTGTTTCCAGAGTTTCACAACCCAGCTCTGTCTTGCTTACATCTGACATGCTACTTCATTGGTGTGACCTCCAGTGTGCTGAGTGGATAAATGACACTGCATAATCACCGTGCTGCCCCACAATGACCCTGAGTGGATGTCTAGACTTTCCAGTAATCAAGTCTTATAATTCAATGCAATGCAATAACCTTTTATGTATTGTTGGGGAGGAGAATAGGGGACATAGAGATGCACTAATAATTACTAGGCATTTGATATATGGTCTGTGATTGAGATAAGGGCTGGAAACTAAAGGGTACAGAGGAAGCTACATAGCCCAGCCTGATGTGAAACAATGGATGTATGGTTGGATAACATTTATATCTTTTCAAAGTGTGATTATATATATCTTCCCTTCTTAGTCTCCCTTTAGTCATGGGGAAGTATAGATAACATTCAGATTATTTGCTCCTATTATAGAGAGAAACTGAGGCAAATGGGGGTGGTTCCGGACATAGAACTGGTTTCAGTGGCTGCCTTAGTCTGTTTTGTGCTGCTATAACAGAATACCAGAGGCTGGGTAACTTATAAAGAAAATAAATAAATTTATTTCTCACAGTTCTGAAGGCTGGGAAGTCCAATATCAAGTTGCTGGCATCTGCAGAGTGTCTTCTTCCTGTGTCATCCCATGGCAGAAGATGAGAGGGTGAGAAAGAGGGGTTGGGATATCAAATTTGCCCTTTAATAATGAACTCATTCTTGAGATAACACCATTAATCTATTCATGAGGGTGAAGCCCACAAGGCTGAATCATCTCTCATTAGGCCTCACCTCCCAACACTGTTGCATTGGGGATTAAGTTTCCAACACACGCTATTTGGGGGACACACTCAAATCATAGCAATGGTAGATATGAACTAATGGCCCAGAGCTTATGACCATCAGCTTAGGGATCTTCTGAACTACACTGTCATTTGCCCTTATGTTGGACAGCAGTATGAGCATGCTTGCAATTTCATAATGTCACAGAAGATGGGGGACCTTCCATAATATGTCCCCTATGCACTTTTGTGATAGAACATCAGAATAGAATACATTAGTGAAATGAAAGTGCTGGGAAAGGGAGGGCACTGTCCCTCTAAATAATACAGAAGGCAGCAGGACGTGCTGAGTAGAGGAGGGTGTGGTCCCCTGCTAGGGCTCCACTCCAAGGCCTGTGTCAGGGACCTAGGTGAGGACAGGCATTTTTGTTTTCCTGTGCAAATGTTGCATTTTCCAAGACCACCCTGGCCTGCCACGCCCCTATCCAGGCCACCAACTGGCAGAACGACATGGAGCTTGGCTGTGGCAGTGAGAGGAGAGCTGGGGCCGCTGAGCCCCCGATTCCAGGGGGAAAACCATCTCCCTTTTGGCTCCCCCATTCTGCTGAGAGCTACTTCCACTCAATAAAACCTTACAATCATTCTCCAAGTCCATGTGTGATCGGATTCTTCTGGTACACCAAGGCAAGAACCCCGGGACACAGAAAACCCTCTGTCCTTGTGATAAGGCAGGGGTTTGAGGTGACTAACACAAGCCACCTACAGACAGCTAAACTAAAAGAGCACCCTATAACACATACCCACAGGGGCTTCAGCTGTAAACATTCACCCCTAGATGGAGTGAATGCGGGATTGGAACTCCACAGCCTAGCTGGCTGTATGCTTTCCCAGAGGTTTGTGCAGTCAGCCGGGCCCTGAATAAGTGCGTCACACCCCCATTGCGCACGCCAAGTGAGGGAGATAAGGGAACTTTTCCAGTTTCATTAGGAGTTGATAGACTAAGGTTCACGGGCTACACTGTTCATTGCTTGCTTTTATAAGTAAAGTTTTATTGAAACATAGTCATACCTACTCATTTACTATTGTCTGTGGCTGCTTTTACATTACAAAGTTGAGTAGTTGCAACAGATACTGTATTGCTCACAAGTCTAAAAATATTTAATATTTGTCCTTTACAGAAAAAATGTGTCACTCCCTGGAATGAATCAAATGGAAGTAAATGGAAAAAAAAGAATTCAATCGTTCATAACAGGCAGTGTATCATAATTGAAAAAGATAATGAAAATTGGTTTCAGACAAACTCAGGTCAGAATCTCACCCTGGCTACTTGGCTGGATAACTTTGAACTGATTTTTACTCTTTGGGCCTGTTTTTGCATCACTGTAGAAGGTTGCTGTTTAAGAATTCTATAAGGTAAAGTGTAATATATCTGTTATGATTAGGTTTGACCCCATACAATAGAAAACACAAAAGTGTCTTACACAGGACAGCAGTTTTTTTTCTTTCATGCAGAGGTCTGGAAGGCAGTGTGTATTGATTTGTTCAGTGCCTCTTGCATTAGGAACTCATGCCTCTTTTACCTTGTTGCTTTGCTGTGTGTGGCTTTCATTCCTGAGGTCCTTTCATGGTTCAACACGGATGCTGGAGCAAATAAACAATCAAATACACAAAAGCTTAGAGAAAGAGCCATCCGTAGAGGCCAGGCAGCAAATCTATTTATTCAAGGCTAGCCAAGATGAGATCCCCTGGCCATAGTGCATGAAACCAGAATATTTCACTTATTCCATTCTTGGGATACATTGAAGCAGACCCGGAAGCAATGTCTTCTGTGTATTAAGCATCTAACACTTTACAAAGCATTTTCATACGTCTTACCACATTTGTTTTCCACAATGCTCTGAAAAGGTAAGATGCCTAGATTTTAACATTATTCCTATTGAATACTTGATTCACACAGTTGCTAAGTAACAGATCTTAACTAGTCTACAGCTAGGTCTTCCAATATGTTGCTGGAAATGAAAGGTGAACAATCATGGTGCAGAATAAAGAAAATAAGCCAAATCAGGACCCCTGGTAGAGAGGCAGTGCAAAGACTGGGGCTAATTATGTGGTCTCAGCCTCACCGGGCTGTTCTCCTAACCTGTAAGACCAAGATAAGAGCACTTATTTACTTTTGGGGTTATTGTGAAAATAGTAGACAATCTTAGTGCACCTGGCACTTAGGAGCAGTTGAATGAAATCATTACCTTTCACAGGTGTGTCTTTGGAAAATCACATCCCTTTCCTGGACCTCCGTTTCCTTTTCTAGGAAAACAAAATGTTTGGTCTCAGTGACTGCTAAACTGTCTCCCAAATCTCAAGCTCCCTCAGTCTGGGATCCTGCCTTTTATGAAAATAGCTCAGATTGGAATTCTCCCTTTGGTTGCTTCCTAGCTGTGTGTCCCAGTAAAAGTTAAAAATTTTGGATTCCCCGCCCTCTGTAAAATAGGGATTCATAACATGCAGCTTATTAGAAAGGGAAGGCATGTGGGGATTAAATGAGGTCGATGTTCAGTACCCACTAGATTGTAACATTTCTCAAAGGCAAGGACCCATCTGTTTTGTAGATTACAGAATGTCATACGTTGAAGTACGGGGTGTGGCCACGGGATTAGAAAATTTCTGTAAAGATTAAGGAACGAGGCACAAGGTAAGCGTTCAAGAATTTTAACTATGCAATATTCTTATAATTTCTTACACCCGCCTACAACAGTCCTGAGGTTCAGTAAACGGTCTGACACACACACCCAACCGGGGCTGTGGAGAGTCCCCCTGGGTGAGCTCTGCGAGGCGAGTCCTCAGAGCCGGGAACTCGCAGCCTGAGCAGACGTAGCAGAGCCAGTCTTGGATCCGCGCTCCTCCCGCCCAGCCCTGCCCAGCCCTGCCCAGCCCTGCCCAGCGCCGCCCGCGGGTGGCCAGGAGCCAGCGAACGCACCAGCCTCGGGGCGGGCAGGCGCCGGCCAATCCCGGGCCGGGTTCAATGGGCCAATCAGGCCGAGCTTTACAGAGGACGCGGCGGGGGCGGGGCCGCGCTCGAGGCGGGGCTGCAGCCGCTCCCGGGACCGCCCTGCCCAGACGCCGCGGGGCTCGGCGCGGCTACGTGCAGAAGCCCTCTAGCTAAAACGTAGTGTCAGATTGGACAAGTACTGTAAGTGACCCTCCTCTCAGTCCCACGTGGGCGCCGGGGGCTTTTGCTGGCGCGCAGGCTCTTCGCGCGCAAGTCCAGGAAGAGGCTTCTCCAACCCGGGAGCGCACTGGCCTGGCCCTCCCCTCCCCTTTCCCACAGTCGTTGCCTCCTCCTATCCTTCCTTCTCCTCCGGCCGCTAGGTCTCTCACCCGCCAGGCCGTTGCTCCCGAGACGTTGTTGAGTTCCCTGAGTCGTCTCCTGGGTGAGGCGTCCGGCCACTCAAGGGAAGGGAAGGAAAGGGTTGGCCTTTACTGCATCCCCAAGGCTGCCCGTTAGGTGTCTGGAACCCGTGCTGCTTCCTCTCCGATCAGTGTCCACTTAACTATATTCAGTTCTCTTTCTCTCCTTTCCTCACTCGTGTAGGACATTTCGCCGGCATCTGAGGAGCCTTTTAATTCACGTCTGGCTACCGAAGGCATTTCTAGGCTAATGTTGCTTGTACCTTTAACGCTTCCAGCACTTATGATAGTGTTTGAGGCACAGCTGAGTTTAGATCGGATAATGCTGTTTTGTTACCGTTATCCGCAGTAGGAAAGGCCTAGGGGTATCTTTCCATTTTTATCAGTTTCCTTTTTATTTAAAGATTGAAAAAGTGCAAAATGGTGAATTTCCCTCATCATGGGCTGTTTTCCACTAAAGCACTTCTGTGTCTTAACACAACTTTCTTTCCTGAAGGGTCAGGCATGACATGATCAAAGTCTGAAAAGCAGTTATCCTTAGGTTACATTTAAAAGTATGAGACCAGGAGGGGTGAAGTTCTTATGCTTTTGAATTGTAAATCAGAATGAAAGAAGGGAAAGTCTCTTATTCTGTGGCTGTTATTTAAATAGTGGAGTTTTGCTTTGTATAGTTTTTGCTTGCTTTTCTTCTTTTTTTCTATGATCCACCACGTGTATATCCTGATTTTTTTTCTTTTTAACTTGCTTGCTGGGTTTTCCAGCCAGATGACTGCCGCTTGGTCTTCTGGGAGTCTCCTGTTAATGGGGCCCTCACGCTTGGCTCTTGACCTGACAGCCACTGGCCTGGCTCTTGGAGGACCTCCTAGTAGGAGGCCCAGAGCACTGTTATTAAGGATGATTGGGGGAACAGATCAGAGGGGGTGAGCCGGGGCCTGGAGATCAATTTTGAGGGGGAGGAAGGTTGGGAGCCTGCCTGGCTGGATTTGGAAGTCAAAACATGTGTGCTGGAAGAAAGGCATGACCCCGGAGGGTGGAGAGCTTGTCTTTCTGGATGAAATTAAGTTTACTGGGAGGGGACTGTGCCTTCCAGTCTGTGTTAGTTTTTGCTGTGGGCCTTGGCTTTTCCTGGAATTTAGTTCTCTTTCCCTAACCTTTCACTTTTTAACTAGTTTCCTTTACCTAACCTTTCATTTATTGATTTAAATATTTTAAATCACAGTCAATTACCAGCTGGTTTTTAAAACAATTTGAGGTAATGAATCTTGCCCTTAATCTGCCAGCCAGAGTGGAAGCCTCTACCCCCACCCCCAAGGGGATTTGAAATGATTATTTTACCAGAATGTGCTACAGAGATCACTTACCCTCTCACCTACCCACCTTTTTATAATGGAGGGACATGGAGTCAACCCAGGTGGTGTAAGAGATCATCCAAATCAGTTCATGTATTCCCTCATCTTGTCCACATACTTTGGGCCTGGAACTGTGGTAGTCTCTGGGAAAGTGCAGACGAGTAAGACTTGGTCTCTGCTTTTAAGCCTTCATCTAGTTTGCTTCAGTCCACTTTGATGAGGGAGATTACATGATAGTGAGATGATTGCAGTGAAAAGGTATGCAGAAGACTCCCAGGAGTTGAGAGAAGGACAAAAGGCTCAATATGGGGTTTGGGGAAGACTTCCCAGAAGGGAATACTGGAATTGAGTCCCAAAGCCTGAGTGGGCTGGAGAAAGGGGAGGAATTATATGAACTGGGAACAGCATGTGCAGCACTACAGAAGCATGGCACATGGTTGATTAGTATGGCTGTGCAAGAAAGGCTGAAGTGGAAAATCACCTGACAGGAGGCTGGGGAGGGTGAAGGCTGGATCAGGAAGGGTCTGGTGAATCATCTTAGGGAAGGAAGTTTGGAATATATCTCCAGGGCAAAATCTTATATCATTTTGCAGAAATCTTATGTCATTTTCTTTGTACATTATCGAAAATTCTGGCTGCAATTTGAAGAATGGATTGGATTGGTAAAGCCTGGAGAGAGATAATTGCAGTAATACAGGTTAGGGATGTATTAGGGTAATAGTTATGGCAATGGAGAGAGATTAGGAAAATAGAATGGTTAGAAATTAATTACTGATTGAATGTAGGGGTAAGAAGAAATGTAGCCAATAGTAGGCATTCTTGAGTGGGCTATTTTGTAGCAGCTTTATTGAGGAATAATTGACATCCAGTAACTGTTCATATTGAGTGTCCAGTTGGAGAAGTTTTGTTAATATGCATGTATCTGAAAACCATCATCACCATCAAGATAAAGAACATACCTAATACCCCAAAGATTGCTTGTGCCCTTTTTAATTCCTCTTTGTATACACCCTGGGATAAAGTATATATTAAATCTTTTGTCCACTTTAAAAAATGAGCCATTTATTTTCATTTTGTTTAGCTTTGAGAATTCTTTATTCTTAAAAGTTCTTTATCACATGTAATTTGCAAATATTTCTCTCATTTTGAGGCTTGTGTTTTAACAGTGCCTTTTGAAAGCAGAGTTCTTAATTTTGATGAAGTCTAATTTATAATTTTGGTTAAATAAATGTTACCAATCTGATTTTTTATAGATCATGCTTTTTGTGTTTTATATAAGATACCTTTGCTTAACCTAAGGTCTCAAATATTCCTCCTATTTTTAAAAAGAAGTTTTGTCATTTTTTGTTTTATGTTAAACCTGTGATCATTATAAGGTAATTTTTTTGCATATGGCCATCCAGTTGTTCCAGCACCATTTGCTGGAAAGCTTATCTTCGTAGAATTGCCTTTGCACCTTTGTTCAAAAATCAATTTACCATGTATACACTGGCCCAGTTTTGTGTTTTATTTTGTTCATTTGATCTCTTGTCTATTTTAATGGCAATACCACATATTCTTGATAAATACAGCTTTGTAATAAGTACTGAAATCAGCTAGTGTAAGTCCTTTAATTTTGTTCTTTTTAAAATTTGTTTTGATTATTCTAGGTTCTTTCTGTTTCCATATGAATTTTATAATCACTTTGTCCATTTCAAAATAAAGGCCTATTTAGATTTTAATTGGAATTGTATTTAATGTATACATTAATTTGGGGGAGAATTGACATTTGAAATACCAAGTCTTCTGACCCATGGACACAGTGTATCAGTTCATTTATTTAAGTCTTCTTTATTTCTCTAGGCAATGTTTTATAGCTCTCAATCCATATATCTTACACATCTTTGTTGGATTACCTGTAGGTATTTCCTATTTTTTGATGATATTGTAAATGATATTAATATTTTATATATTTTAAAAATTTAATTTCCAGTTGTTTTCTTGTTACTGGTATATTGATCATGTATCCTGAAATCTTGCTAAAGTGCTTATTAGTTCTAAGAGCTTTTTGGTAGATGCCTTCAGATTTTCTATTTAGGTGATCCTGTCATCTGTAAATAAAGATAGTTTTACTTCCCTTCCCAATGAGGTTGCCTTTTATTTTTCTTACTATATTCCACTAGCCAGAATCATTGCTTTTCATAGAACTGATGAGAGCTGACATCTTGCCTTCTTCCTGATCTGCAGGAGAGGCATTCATTTTATCATTAAGTATGATGCATGATTCGAATTACATATATTTGGAGATAAGCTTTATCAGGTTTAGGAAGTTTCATTGTATTCCTGCTTTACTGAGAATTTTTTTTTAAAGGAATAGTAGATGTTGTAATTTTGTTGCTTTTCCTATAACTGTTGTGATCATTCATATTTTTAAAAAAGATTCTTAATGTGGTAAATTACATTTAATGATTTTTTTTCCCTGTGTTAAACTTTGTGTTCCTGAGATACACCCTATTGGTCAAGGCATATTATCCTTTTTTTATGTTACTGAATTTTATTAGCTAAAGTTTGAAGAATTTTTGTGTCCATCCTCATAATACCTGACGTCTGGGTAAATCTGGCCTCATAGAATGAATTAGGAAGTATTTCTTCCATTTTGATTTTTCCAGAAGAGTTTATGAAGAATTGGTATTATTTTTTTCTTAAATGTTATTGTAGCACTATTCACAATAGCAAAGACATGGAATCAATGTAAATGTCCGCCAATGGTAGATTGGATAAAGAAAATGTGGTACATATACACCATGGAATACTGTGCAGCCATGAAAAAGAATAAGATCATGTCCTTTATAGTAGCATGGATGGAGAAAGCTGGAGAACATTATCCTAAGCCAACTAAAGCAGAAACAGAAAACCAAAAATACTGCCTGTTCAAAAGTGCACAAAAGGGGGAATGACACTGAGACCTACTTGAGGGTTGGGGATAGGAGGAAGGAGGATTAGAAAAAAAATTAACATAAAAAAATGCGCTTTGGGAGGCCGAGGCGGGTGGATCACGAGGTCAAGAGATCGAGACCATCCTGGTCAACATGGTGAAACCCCGTCTCTACTAAAAATACAAAAAATCAGCTGGGCATGGTGGCGCGTGCCTGTAATCCCAGCTACTCAGGAGGCTGAGAAGGAGAATTGCCTGAACCCAGGAGACGGAGGTTGCGGTGAGCCGAGATCGCGCCATTGCACTCCAGCCTGGGCG